CAGAAGCAGGTTTTTAAAAAAAGCAACAACAAAAACAAAGCTATACGTCTTGCACTCCAACGTAATACCATTACAAACACAAGTTCAATTCATGAGGGAACTCGTGCCGTCAACCAAGACTCACTTTCCTCCGTTGGGCTCCCTCCCTCCGCGCATCCACTCCATAAGTCCCAAACTAAAAACTAAAAAATACGGAGCAGTCAGCATAAAAATGAGCGGCACGACAAGAGTGCGCCCCTCAGAGAAACCAAGCCCACACCTTAACAAACACAAACGGAATAGAGTTAAAAATCTCACAAGGCTCAACCTTCCCTGAGGGTCTGTCGAGGCACACGCTCCAAAAGTGCGAGGAAGCGTTCCAGAAAAAGCCCTTCCGTGTCTCCACCACACTCGCCTCCCCGTTACAGGAGATGCTGCACCCGAAAGAAGCCACATTGAAGAGATCTAACGGCTCACAAGATATGCCAAAACGTGGCACCGCAGTGCCTCCGGGGAGGCCGCACACCAACGCCATCGTCACACTCCGTTTCCGCCGGTCGCCCCTGCTCAGCTCGTGCGCAAGTGTACTCCGATACTCCACCAGCCCACACAAACGTAACCGCCCAGAGACACCTTCGTCGTGTTGGCTCTCCGCAATGCAACACAGTCCTGCGCACAGCCGCAGGTGCTCCTCCACCGTCAGAAAATCCAGGCTGGCGTCAAACTGTGGGTAGTAGCCAACGTACTGCAGGGCCGCAGCGCTCTCCTCCACAACATCATACCCACAGACGTACGCGGATCCGCCCGTGGGGAGAAATTCCTGGCATAGAATCGAAATAGTTGTCGTCTTCCCCGCGCCGTTCGTACCAAGCAAGCCAAACCCCTCTCCGGGAAGAATATCGAGCGTGAGATTCCGTACCGCAACTTTCCCATTGGGGTACTCTTTGCGTAGGTCACACACTGTCACAACTCCCTCCACAACACCCCCTTTCGTTGAATCGTACACGGCATTCCGCTCATCCTCAACATCCGTGTCCATCTCCTCGATGTTGTGCCTCCCACGACGGTAGGAGACGCGCTCCCACCACGTACGTCGCCTTGGATGATCAATCAAAATCAACAGCAACCCAAAAAAAAAAACAGGAACCTCCACTGAAAGAAACGCAATAGGGTGGTCAGTTACATCGCCATCGAACGCAAATGCCACCAAACCCGCCGCTTTCATTTGTTTGTATTTGTTAAGGTTGATGACGCCTTCACCGATGCAGTACATTGGGACAAGACGAAAGGGCCAGCGGAGGTCATCAGAGACACTTTTCGTTTTGTCCAAGAGCGAAAGAATAAACACCACCATCAGTAACAGGAATCCCAAGACAAAACCAGCCGCCATCACAACCAGCTGCGCCGTTGAGTGCTCGCTGAAGAAAAAACTGACGACATAGCCAGCAACCGTGCTTGAAAGACCGTAGACCAAAAATAGGGTGAACACAGCACCGAACGTTTCGGTGCCCAATGTATGCGTCACTGCGAAGGACCGCAAAAATTGCGATGACAATAAACGAGGGACACAAGATACGAGGCCATGTCAAATAGATAGTTTGATAGCCAGTAGCTCACGAAGCGCAAGCCCGCAATCTTCTGTAAGTGTAAGGCGCCGCACTCCCGCTCCTTCACGACCCACGTAACTGGATTGGACGGCAAAAACGAAAACGAAATCACAATGATCGTTCCTGCCAGGAACACCTCAATAAGGCCTCAGTAATTACTCTCATCCCAGAGAGCACCAAAAGACCACGAAATGTTGTGGAGCAGGAGCTGGTAAAACGCTGCCAATGGTAACGCCTGCTTGGTGAGTGGCTGAAGTGTTGTGTAGCATAATGGTCAGATTGATTCATCGTTCCCAGCTTGCGGTAAAGATAATGATCAATGCAGGAGGCACTGGCGTACCGCGGCATTTCGTGCGTAAACCATGTATCGGAGCTGTAGGAACCGAGCTCCCCCGTGTTCGCAAAGTGGGTCTCATTTATTGCCACGCTCGACAGACGAGGATCCCCACCACCACCACCACCACCAAGAAGCCCTGGCACTGAGTTGTGTCCATCAGTACAGGGTTGTCGTAAAGGCCAAACGACAGTACAAGTTTATCTTTCGCTTTAAAATTTATCAGGCTAAGCAACATGGCAAGCAGCACGCAAACAAATGGGAAAAACAGTTGGAAAAACTGCATTCCCCGGTCACGCAAAGCATCTCCAAAGCACTTCCACAGCGTCGCACAAAACTGCGACACCACTGAGGACAGGGTCAACCCATAGCCCCACAAGCACGAATAGTCCTCACTAAACGTGGAATCCTCCTCCTCCCGCCGTGGCACACGAAGAAATACATCCTCAAGAGCTGTTGCCAAAATCGAATATCCACGCAAGCCATAATCGACGTGATTTTCGATGCTGTCCAACAAACCAGGAAAAATGCTGGCCTCGCTCAACGGCATACGGTACGACAACTGGAAACCATTACGAGAAAGAAACTCTGCACCCTCAATGCCTTCTTCTACAAGCCCATTTATGCTTTCAAAATATCCATCTGGGTGCACTGCCATAACAAGACCATGGCCCAAGCGCAGCTTGGACTTTAGAAACAAGCTGCTTCCAGAGCACTGCAGAGAGTCGCTGCTCATGATGCCAATCTGGTGCCCCAGTAGATCTGCCTCGCCCATGTAATGCGTCGTCAGCAAAATGGTATGTGCGGAGGACATTCGCCTCAGCAGCTACCACGTGTAGCGGCGGGCACCAGCATCCATGCCCGCAGTCGGCTCGTCAGGGAACACAATGCGGCTCTGGCCCACAAATGCCACACCCACTGAAAGCTTCCGCCTCTGCCCACCAGAAAGAGCCCTCGAAAATCCATGCTCTTTGTCCTTCAGATCCGCCTCACTCAACATCCGCTGCACCGCCCTCTCCAGTTCGGCACCCTTCAAAGCCCTTGATTTGAGCAAAAAACTCAAGATGCTCGCGGCACGTCAGCTCCGGCCACAGAATGTTGTGCTGCAGACAAAAACCCAATCTCCTGCCGCACCGAAAACTCGTACACGTAGCAGTCACCGCCGTCAGGCCTCACCATGTTCGCCGTCGTCGTCTTCCCCGCGCCATTACGGGCCAGAAACACCGATATATCGCCCTCACGCAGGCTCCAGTACAGGTTGTTCACTGTGACAAACTTCTTCCCACCTCGCCGGTAGACCTTCCGCAACCCAAAAAGACGCACTGCGTCGCCCTCCTCATTTTCCATTCCGTCATTTTCAAAGACGCCATCGAGAGCCCGCCCATCAGGGCCACCCTCTTCGCATACGTCTCCCCCCCTTTGCCACGGAACCAACGTATAGGCACCAGAATTAAAAACAATAGGCGCCTGGCCGTCCCCCAATCCTTCGGTATTACGACGTCCAGGTACACCGTTATCACCAAGTACGGCACACTCTCCAGCAGCGGCGCCCCGAGTATCGCAGCCAGCTTCGGCTCGTCGCGGAAGTGAGTGAGGTGCGAGAGACTCATGCCGCCGAAAAGTTCGTGGAAAAATGAAACCGCAGCCCCAACAGCGAATGCACTCGGTGACAAAAATGACGCAGCAAGCTTTCCTGAGGCAGGGAACTCCGTCACCGGAAAGAGGGGAATCGCGCAGGCAAAGTAGATAAGCGCCGCGAAAATGGCGGCATGCCTGACGCTGTTAAACAGCGTCTCCAAAAGACCCGACGGCACGACCGCGGAAGGGCCAAAGAGAAACGCGAGTATAAAAATACAAAGGTAGTTTGGTTTGTCCTTGACAGGTACGCCAACTTCACCATCAATGACATAATCAGGCTTGTAGCGCGGTACTGCACCACGCACAGAATAAACCACACAGAATACATAATGCTCTTGGACAGACCCATAATTAACATCGCCTCGCAAAGGTGCAGCTCCTTTCCCACAGCAATACTCCTCGTTAGCTGTGAAACACAGTACAGAAACCCCATTATGAGAATGAGAGGTGCCCAAAATATACTGCATGAAGATAGGAACCTCTCCTCTACGCACATGAGAATTAACTACGGCTGCATTAGAAGAATCGCAGTTAGTATGGGGAGTATTGGCACGTGAATTCAAAAGGTCCGAAGTCGAAGTACCGTTAGAATATGCACAAATTGGCCTATACGCAGAGAATTGAGCTAAACACGCGTGAGCTTCAAGAGTGGTGCATCTTGCGTGGAGATGTAGTGTGAGAAATCAACCTTGATGTCATCCCTCACCTGCCACCGACACGAATAGCTTTCGGTTATGATGGCTAAAACCCATTAGCAGTTCCCTTGTGGTGCTCCTCTTCCTCTTTTCAAGCAGGCGAAGGAAGAGACACAGCACGCAACACA